CAATTCATATTATTGCAAAATTACAGTTGTGTAGTAGCAACAAAAATAATTTTATGGTTGGGGGTCACCACAGCATGAGGAACTGTGTTAAGGGGTTGTGGCATTAGGAAGGTTAAGAACCACTGCTCTAATACCAAGAGCCATCATAATGTAGTGGTTTGAGCGGTTATGACTTTGGAGACTAGGGTTCGAATTCCATTCAGTCATGGAAACCCATTGCGCAAGGTCACACTCTCTCAGCCTCAGAGGAAACCAAAGGGACCCCTTGATCTGAAGAAATCATGCCAAAAAACCCTGGTGAGAACTTGTCTTAAATCAGGAATTGCTTAAAGACACATAAGACAAATCTATTCTTTGGGCAGCATCTATGTTCTACCTTAATTACTTCCTATTTTATCCTATTCTTAGTTGTTAAGTTTCCAAAAATAACAGACCTCATCAAAGACATCATTCTACTTTGGCTTTAGGGGTGAATTCATCTACAAAATACCATGCTTGTGTGCGGGCAACACCCAGTGCCACCCATCAGGCTAATTGTGCAGCTGGGTCCCATATGGCCATGTCTCTCCATCTCTGGTCGCTCAAATGTAGCAGAATACAATCAAAATGTGTTTTGCTACTACTCCTATTTAACAAAACTTTCGTAACAACACACCCTTTCGAATTTTGTGAAAACTACATGTGTGTCCAAGAAACATTAGAATATGCTCAGAATGGCTAAAGCCATTTAGGATGAAGAGCACACAAACCAAAAGTTACCTGTTGCACTCTAGCATTGAGATCACTCTTTCCTCCCCTGCACCACACTAGAGTCCGGTAGTATCTAATTACAGCAGTTTATTTAGAAAAGCATGTACAAAAGGGAAAATAGGAAATTCCCCAAAAGCAGTAGAAAAGGTGCTATAAAATAATAGTAGTCCATATATACAAAGTTCAATAGCCCATGAAGGCAAGGTACAAGGAATCCAGGAAATCAAGACCATAGGCATAAATTCATAAGCATTAAAACAGTAGCTTTTCCAATGAAAAACTCTTACAGGAACATAGGAAAACATAGGCGACAAAATTTATGATAATGACAGCTGGTCCAGGAACTTGATTCTATGATAGCGTGGAAACTCCCAAGAAAACATTACAATTTAAGCTCAGGCCCTACCAAGAAGCCAAAAGCCATCTCTTTTACACCTGGAGACTTCTCATGGAGTTTCAAGGGCTTCTCACTGAGTCTTTCTGGCTGTCTAATTAATCTACCCTTCACTCCCTTCGTGAGGAGTCCTAATCTGATATCATGGGAAAACTCTCCAACCAAACATCTCTGTAACAGCCAACACTTCTCTCTGATCTAAGGCCTGCAATCCAGCCTGTGTTTCAGCCTGATCACACACAGACTCAGTAGGGAAACCATCATCCCCTCATCCTCTGAGGATTCCCTAGCATTCTGCTGCTGAGCCCCAACAATACTACAGCAGTTTGCTTTTGCCTGAGTCGACTGGGAAAAGGGAAGATTCCATTTTCTCCACTCCTCTCGAACCCTTCATTTAACTGCTTCTGCACCAATTTGAAGTGAACTTAGGACAAAGAAGGACAACGGGAAAAGGAGAGAGACACTGGGACATTTTTAAATCTACTATGTGTAGCTGAGTGACATCAGAGTAAATTCAAGGTGACAACAATTACTGATGTTGAAGAACTCACAAGCAAAGAGAGGCTGCAGCATTTTGCTTTTGCCTAAGCCTACTGGAAATGCAACATTCTGCTTTATCCTGGAATTAATTGAGTGCAGCTTTTTTGGACTTTGAAACCAATTTGTAGGAACTGAAATAAGCCAGGGACAAAGGAGTAAAGTGGGAAAAGGAGATGGAAACGGGGTCATTTAAAAAGTAACCAAAAAAGTGGGATGATAGAGGATTAATTGGGATTGTCCCAACCAAACTGGGACATTTGGAGAGTATGTGACAAGTGATAATTCAGTATCCGAATGCTGCAAAAAGAGATAATGTTCCCACTCTAGGCTGTGGTGCTCTTTTTCAAAAATGTTTTAGAATTAAGAGGCAGGGATCCTTTTCTTCTCTCCCATCTATACAACTTTCCCAGAGTAGCCTTGATTTCCCAGAGATTTCCCAAGGGAAACCAAAAGGACTATAAACATGAGCAAAACCAGGCAGGATCTGGCATGTTCGGAGCTGTCAGTTTAGCCAGGCATGCTTGAGAGGAACTGGTTTTTCCCACAGGCCCAGGAGCCAAGATTGTGTAATGTTTATGAAAGCGTCCATCTGAAAGTAGTTTTTTTCCTCCCCAGAACACGGGTAATATGTCCAACATTTCACAGGTAGATTTCAGGAAACGTGAAGCTTAGAAACATCAAGGTGAAAAAAATTATTAAGGGAGAAGAAAACGCAAAATAGAAGAGGCTGTAGCAGTTTGCTTTTGCTCGATCTTACTGGGAACGGCACGGTTCTGTCCCCCCTCCTATCCATTTCCCTGTGCTGAGTTAAATGAGTGCAAACTACTTTTTCACTTTGAACCCAGTTTGCACCTGTGAAGTACTTTGAAGGCAAATGGGGAAAGTCGGAAGAGGAGAGAGAGAAAAACAGAACATTGTATAGGAAGATAAAAAGGATGCAAAACAGGCTTTGGGTGAATCTACACCAGGCATGGGCAAACTTCCGCCCTCCAGGTGTTTTGGACTTCAACCCCTACAGTTCCCAACAGCCATTAGGAACCATTATGGAGCATTCACTAAACTGGCATTGCAGATTGGCTGGACTATAGATCCCAGGTATGAAAAAATTGAACTCTCCTAGTTAAAAAAAAAACACCCCTATTATGCAGCTTAAAAGTCTTATGTTTAGTATTCCTTTTCTTTAAAGAAGAAGCTTTCAAAGGATTTCTGATAGACCTGTACAGCATCATAAAGAGCGGCTGCTCGTTTTTCCACTGATCCTCCTGGTTTGCCCTTAAGAGAA